ATACTTAGCTTAATAGCTATTAATAATACTTCTTTACTTAAATACCTTCTATTTACTATTAAGAGATATAATATTAATATATTACTTAGTACTATACCCTATAACTCTGTTAAATATAAACTTAGAACAGACTAGTTTACCTATTTAAAACCTAACTATTATATTACCCTATTACCTTTTATTTTTATAAGTTATATAATATAGAATTATAATATTTAATTTATAATAAAGAATTTCTAGCTATTATTAATTACTTTAAAGAATTCTATTACTACTTTATAGAAAGTACTTATTAAGTTAAGGTATATACTAATTATTAAAATATCTTATATTTTACTATAATATAAGAACTAAACTAATAATAACTATACTATGCTAAATACCTATATAGATTTAATTTTATAATTATATACTATAAAGGATTTAATAATAGATATACTAATATAATTAGCTATAAATTAGATTTTAAAAAAGAAATTATATTTAAATTATAAAAGTAACTTCTTAAGAAAAATAAGAAGGGAAAATACTAATTTACTACTTTTATAAAATACATATTATAAATAAAGAAATTAGTAACCCTAGAAGAATAGTATAAGGCTACTAGCTAGCTAATAATAAAACTATACTTAGACTTTTATAAGATTATAACTAAGAAATATTAGAAATACTATTACTTAGATATTAGTAAACTAGTAAATATACCTAGTAATAAATTAAACTATTATATAAGGTATTCTTAGTTAAAAGTAGTAATTAAAACCTGCCTAATATACTAAAATAAGAAAATACCTATACTATTACTAATCTATAGGTAGTATTAGAAAAGATAACTTTATAGCCTAAAGGACTTTATTAACTAGGCCTAGGAAAAACCTAAAAAAGAAAATATATACCCCTGCTATAAAGATAAGATCTATTTACTAAAATACTATAATATATTTCCTAATATCTTTAACTACTATTACTTAGAAATAAAATATAACTCTAACTACTAGGAAATATAAAAACTAATAAAATATATTTATAATAAACTAATACTAGAAGAATCTATAAAAGAATATATAGAAAAATACTTATAATATAACCCTAGTAAGAAGATTACTAAAACTATTAAAGATAGTAACTTCCTTTGTAAATTTTATTTATACTTATAATATAAATACTAAGGTATTACTAAAATATTTAAATAACTATAAGAAAAAGAATATAATTATCTAAGATAAGATATAAAATAAATTATTAAGTAATATAATATATATATATAAATAAAAGTATAGTAATTTTAATTATTTAAATAGATTATATTACTTTTATTAGTAATTAAAAGATAATAGCTAGGATTTTTAAAGTACTTACTTTACTAAAGTACTTACTTATTAAATATATTAAGCTTAAGATATAAGTTTACTATAAAGTATATAAACTTAAGAAAAGGCTTATACTAGTATAAGTAAGCCTTATAGTAATTAGTAAAAATTATAAAGTATATATAATATAATATATATAATAAGCAAGTATTATCTACAACAGATAGCCCTATCCCCCTTAATATAATAAAGGACGCTTTAATAAATTAGCCCTAGGATAATCTATCGTGCTTTGCCTGCCCTGGATGCACAGAGTAGAAGATATATATAGACTTTTAATACAATACTAGTTATCCTATTAACGAATTTCAAACTGCTACCCTATGTAGCATAATTAATAGATTTATATTTAACTGATTTTATTTTATAACACTGCTACCCTCAATTATAGCTTATGCAAAGGAGTGTAGCTATTGTTGTAAACGATATATAAATAGGCTAAAGGACCTTAACGCAAGGAAAAGAGAAAACAAAGATATTTTGTTATAAACTATGTAGCATTATCGTGGACATTATAAACATATCTTAAAATATCATCAAATTATCAAGCTGGGAACAGAATGTAAAAGCCTGCACTGTTAGCTAACTGTTTGTTAGAAGATGATACTGTACATACCGAGGAGTCTAGATCCAGCCAGTCAGTCGGCTGCCACTGACTTAGTGGATTCATAATTGACATAAGACCAGAGCTAGAAGACTCATAATCTTCAAACATAGAGCCCAGCGCATCTATGCTCGTTCCAGACTCATGATCGCTGGTGAGAAGTGACTCGTCGTGACAGTTTATCATATGCGATGGTCGACTTGCGTGCTGTGGACCTTGTCTCGCTTCCTGTCGTAGCTCCTCAATGATAATGCTGTATCTTCGGCTAGCAGACTCAGCGGAGATGGTCCTTGCTAGATGATTCTGGCATTTCTCTGCTAGATCGAAGAGCAGAGTGTTGCTAGAGTCGGCCGACTCGTTACTCCTTTGCTGGATATCCCACACATAGACAACTGCCAGTGCACAGAATGTTACGTAGGGCATCCACCATAAAGCATGGAAGAGTACAGATTTTTCGGAGAACATACCATCGACTGTCTCGAGGGCAAGCTTCGCTGCACCTATACACTGCGTTACGCAATCTTGTAATGCAGGAGTGCAGTTATCTGAGTGATCCAAAAGAAATGGTCGGGTTGTATGCATCACAGCGTGACAATAAGCGAGTTTCAAGGCTGTCGATTGTCGAGAAAATATTGGTATGAGACTAGATGGGCGTACGGAGCCAAATTGAGGTGGCAAGGCTTGCCTCCAATCTTGAAGCTGTTGGATGAAGCCTTGGGCAGCCGCCAGACGCTCCTCCGATCGCATCCGCTTCAGAGAGTAAACCTGGCGAGATACATTCTCAATAATAATTGCAATCCTAGAATACTGTCAGTAGAGAAAGGGAATTGCTATCCCATATCCATACCTCGCATGAAATATCACTGCATCAACATGGCAATCCATCGCTGGCTCTGTAGGCGACGGGCCTTCTGGTGTCATATCTTCATCGTTGACTCTATCCGGAAAATCCTGGTCGGCGTCACCATCATGGTAGAAGCGAGGTCGACCAAAAACCACGGCCAAGTACTTGTCTAGAGTATAAAGCACCCAGAAAGTTCTTTTGCGACACTCGGATATGATGTAGTCCGTCGGCTGTCGACCTGCATTTCGGTACTGACCAGACTTCCGATGTAGGCCCAGTGCCGTGACTATAGGAACTGTGTTTCCAAAGACATACCAGGCTTGGTTCATACGCGATGTCTGTAGTAGATACAGAACTTGGAGAACGCGAGCTTGTGCCGACTCCAGTCGAGGTAGTCCGGTCTCTTGAGCCGTCAGGTCAGACGCTGCGAGGAAATACTGTTCGCTCTGTTGAGATAGTAGTGACACTCCTGGCATCGACCTTTGTTCTGTGATCCTGTGTTGACGGAAACTGGCAATGGCAAGAATGGTAAGAACAACGGCAGCTTTTGCATGCCCGACATCTATTTCCAGAGGCTGTCCATTATGCCAATTGCTAATGACAGTTTCAAACCAAGCAAGACAGTATTGTTGATTCAGAACCCGATATGTCACAACGCAGTTCTCGAAGTAATAAGTGAACAGCTCTAGAGCTGCTGAATGACTAACGAACAATAGGCTCTGGTCGCCCTTAGACATGAAGGGTACATCGCCAGCTGACATGAGGGGCTGAAGATTTTCAGAACCTGTCAAAAGACCCGAATCCGTTTGTTGGTTCTGTTGAGCTAACCTTTTCCAAGCCCGATGGATAAAGGTCAAGTTCGAAGTAGGATCAAAGAACTGACCTTCAATCTCAGTCGTCTCAAGACCAGAAGGTCCTTGTGAAGAAGATCTTGTTGTTCCCAGCTCCGGATTCTCCTCCACAGGATGTGACTGCGGAACAGCAGAAGGCGTCGAACTCATAGAGCGTCTCTGTGTCCCGACCGTTGGTGGTGTCGGCGGTCTGCCTCTTCGATACGCCGCATCATATTGACAATTCACTTTCCTCTTCGTACATCCTTCGCAAGGGAGCGTCCCAGAGCATTTGAGCTTCTTGAGTTTGCAGTGGTCGCAAGCTCTGCTGACCTTGGAAGCCTTCCGGCGATTTTCGGATTCGCGGGATACATCTGTGGAAAGTGGTAGAATTCGTTTTGATCGAGAATTTCCTGTATTCGTGCATGTTGATGCTTCGGATAGCGGTGTTGAGGTAACTGGGGTAGCCATCGGATTCACCGGAAATGTGTAGGTGGAGAGTTTAAGAATCCGAGACTTTTTGGAGGGAGACCGGGGTGCGGGGTTATAGCTCGGGACAAATCTGATGGATAACTCGGATTACTGGCAAAGCGACTTCAGCTTAGAAAATTCTCACCCACTTTTGCGGGGGTAGAGAATGCTGTTATGTACAGAGTTCAGCTGTCTAGTCCTAAATGAGACTTGGTTCCTCGTTAAGACTCGTAAAACCTCGTATAGACACTCGTTTAAGTGCTGCCGAGGTCTGTCTGTTGGCGCTGGATTTTAACAAGCAGAATGGCTCATCACGGCCACTGAGTCCTCAGCGCTCTGTAGCTTGCGATTTGGTCACCTTTATATAGATATACTCTGATAGACTACGATACAGTTACTGCCGTAGCCAGAGAAAGTCCGATTCCATGAAGAGTAGTGCCATAAGCCCAGACCAGATCTGAATGACCGTAACACTGATTGTTCAGTGAATGTTTTCTCATTTACCCTACAGATTTAGGCTGGTTGTGAGTAGGGAGCTGAGTGAAGATAACCATTTCTCGTCTGGACACCGAAGATTGAAGCAAGCCACATTGACTTAACCCATTGTAGTTAAAGTAAAAGAAATTCTATTGCTATAATGGCTATGCTATACAAATATCTAAGCAACCTTCTTCAGCGAAGCCGATGAAATGGCAGCGTGAATCTCTCCCTCAGCACCCTCAGGCAAAGGCATCAGTGGTGATCGCACTGTAGCGTGATCAAGAATACCCCGGGCAACCAAAGCGTGCTTCAAAGCAACGGTACCCTCCATATGCGAGCCCCGGTGGTAGACAGCACTGGTGACGGGCAGAAGCTGATCGTGGATCTCACGAGCCTTGGCGTAGTCCTTGGCCTTTCCGGCCGCGATCATCTCGAGAAGAGGCTCAGGTGCGATACCACCATATCCGACAAGCATGCCATCGACGTCAAAGGCAGTGTGGAGAAGGTACTCGTCGTGGCAAGTGAGGACAGGAACATTGGGGCGCTCGCGACGGAAAACAGGGATCTCACGGTCCCAGCGGCGCATGTTACGGACACCGTTCTTCATGGCAATAACACCGGGCTGAGCAGCGATGTCAAGAAGAGTCTGAAGGTTGTAGGTAGCCTTGGTGTTGTCGGGATATTGGAACAGAATCAGAGGCAGCTTGGAGACCTCGTAGACAACCTTGTAGCGATCCTGAGGAGCACCAGGCTGGTATCCGAATCGCAGCCAGCCATGAGAAGGGTAGAGAAGACCGGCCTGGGCACCAGCCTCCTTAGCACGCTTAGCCTCAAGAGCAGCGACCTCAGTACCCTCGCCAGTAATACCAGCAATGATGGGGATCTTGTTATCGACGGACTTGACAAAGGCCTTGATGGTGTCGACTTGTTCTTGCTGGGTAAGGAAGGTTCCTTCTCCGGCGTGTCCGAGGACAACGAGACCCTTGACGCCATCGATGCTTCCAAGCCAAGAGCCTAGACGCTGGATGGCATCGTAATCAACCTTGCCATCTTTGGTGAAGGGGGTGACGGGAGCGGGGACAAGGCCCTTGAGATCGAAAGACATGGTGATGATTGGTGGTTGGAGAAGGTAGTAGTGGTGTTCAGATGTAGAAGAGTTAAGATGTAACTCGAAGATGTTCGAGTTTGTTGTTTGTCTGTTGTGATTTAGATTGTTGATGTAATTGTATTGATGATTTATTTCCCATGTGTCGAGTTTGATATCTTCTTATATATCTAAAGAGAGGCCCTCACCTCGCGCCTCGGCCTCACATCTAGAGAGGCGAACTGGTGAACTTGAGACTTTCGTGCCGAATGAGTCCGACGTTTCCGGAGTCTCTCCGCTGTTGTCTACCGACCAGAAAGAGGTTGTTGTGAGTCCGGATTCCTTTTCCGGACATATCCACACAGAAGTCCGGAGACTTAACCTCGGATTCCCGGATTCCAACAACGCCCAAGCTGCGACTTCGGCAAACTCAATAATCACCCCAGTCCCTCAACAGCTTAGATTGCAGTCCGGAAATACCATTGATTTGTTCGTTAAGGGCTAGTTCAAGATCTCGAATCATCCCCCGCATCTCTCCGCACTTTCACCCCAGATTCCGGGGAAAATTCTACAGCACTGACCTGTTTCCTACCAACAATGTTACGACTCTCCCTGTTCACCTGAGCAGTCAAGGTGGTTATAAAAACAACACTTTAGACGATCAGTTCACCTTCCTCTTTTATCATAAATCTTCTTTTGTTTCTACTAGAAGAAATCAGCTCAACATGGCTACTCAAACTCCCGATATCGAGCGTGAGCTTTCTCGCGACGAGAAGTCTGGCACAATGCACGCCGAACATATGGGCGGTCTGTCGGAGAATGATGCAGACTTCGTCAACAACTTCCCTGAAGAGCGCAAGAAGGCAGTTGTGCGAAAGGTTGATGTAAGTTGTCCAATGACTGAAGATGGTAGCGACGCGATACTGACATGGATAGATGCGACTCATCCCTATGCTTGTACTTCTATATCTTATCGCGTACTTGGACAAGACAAACATTGGTATGTGTGCAATTGACTTGGCCCTAGTGCCAATGGCTGACTTGACGTAGGAAATGCCAAGATCGAAGGTATGACCGTTGACTTGAACCTCAAGGGTATCGAGTACAACATCGTCACCGCCATTTTCTTCATCCCTTTCGTCCTTTGCGAAGTCCCCTCCAACATGATCCTTCACAGGTTCAAGAGACCATCAGTATACATGGGAGGCATTGTCTTTTGCTGGGGTGTTATCATGACTTTGACTGCCCTCGTTCAAAACTACGCTGGTCTATTGGCCATTCGCTTCCTCCTCGGTATCTTTGAGTAAGTCTCCAGAATGCGTCACAGGTCTCAGTCTAACCTTGCCCAGAGCTGGTTTCCTACCCGGCGCGATCCTTATCATTTCCAACTGGTACCTTCCCAACGAGACCCAGACCCGAATCGCGATTCTATATACCTCTGCTGCTACAGGTGGAGCCTTCTCTGGTCTTCTTGCTTTTGCCATTGCCAAGATGGACGGCATGGCAGGTCTTGAAGGCTGGCGCTGGATCTTCCTCATCGAAGGTCTCTTCACCGTTGTAGTCGCTATCATGTGCTTTTTCCTCCTCTGTGATTCTCCAGCTCTATCTACACGCTGGCTCGAAGCCGACGAGATCCGATATCTCGAACTTCGTCAACTTGCGCGCCGCTCCTCCGTACCTTCTGACTACAAGGAGAACGATCATTTCAACCTTCGCCTTTTCAAGGATATCCTTCTCGACTACAAGATCTGGCTTCTATTCTTTGCCAACTGGTCCAACGCTGTTCCCAACTATGCTATGAAGTTCACTATGCCTACTATTCTTCGTGGAATGGGCTATACTTCTAGTGATGCTCAGCTTATGACTATTCCTCCATATGCTATTGGAGCTATCTCAGCTTATGCATTTGCGATATTTGCTGATAAGTACTCTTGGCGAGCGCCTTTCATCTTGGGACCCCAGTGCTGTCTTGTTACTGCCTTCATCATCCTGTTTGTCAAGTCTGGTGACATCGACAACAACATCGCCGTTTGCTACTTTGCTGTCTGCCTGGCATGTTTTGGGTAAGTGCCTTCTAACCACCCTTCAATAAATACATACTAATGGAACCAGCATGTATCCTATCCTTCCAGGAGTCAACGCATGGAACGTTGCCAACACCCCAGACCCAGCCAAGCGATCCGTCAACATCGGACTTCTTGTCTGTGTCGGTAACATCGGTGGTCTCATCGGCTCCTACATTTACCTCGAACGTGAGGCACCTAGATATCCTGTTGGATACGGTACTTCACTTGCCTTTGGCTTAGCTGGTATCGTTGCGGTTGTCTTACTCGAGACTCTGCTCAAGAGAGGCAACGCAAAGAAAGCCAAGATGACCGAAGAGGAGATTCGACAGCGTTATAGTGAGGAGGATCTTGTTCGTATGGGCGAAAAGAGCCCACTGTTTAAATATGCTCTGTAGATTGTATATAGCTCGCTTAGTTGTCCACTAGACGAAGCCTAAGATTTAAGGACTTTCAACAAGTAACAGATCGACTGGAACGTTGTTATAAATAAACTGAGGCTTCCTTGTTTAAAGAAATAAATGCTTAAATCTTGGGATGAAAAAAAAAGTCACTTCTGCATTAACTAGATGATTAGTACCTACTCTAAGGAGGAAAGATTGCTTAGTAGCTCTCTGTTTATTCTTTTTATCCTTGACCTGAACAGTTTATACTTATAATCTGAAAGTGGAACCTAGATGATATTATGTAATAAAATCCACGAGTCATGCAAATCACAATCTATACGAGGTCCACACGCACTATACTGTATTTTCTTTCTCCCTACCCCTTTTTTTGCTTCTTTTCTTTTCGTGTTCTATTTTCCCCTAGTTCCTCGAGACTGACTTGTTTCTAGGCGCTGTACTCATACGCAACCCAATTGCTGACCTTAGAGACAGTATTAGCGAAATTTGTCTTTAAGCTTAAAGTATGCTAGGATTATCCCACGATTGATTTGACCCATATTTGACGCTATGAAAAAACTACATCTCCCAACCTTATCACAGGTAGGTTGTATAATTATCAAAAACAAGATTGGATAACATAATAGTATTACTAGCGTGCATATTACAACTACCAAAATGGTTACAAGATGGGGACAATTAACCACGGTTACGTGCCTATGGATGAGCTACCATCTGCCAAACCCGCGGCAGAAAGCCCTGGTCATCGAGGGTCCCATACTTTAATGGATGGCATGAATGATCGTCTCAGTGAACCATGGCAACCCGGGTTCTGGAAGCGATTCCCTCTAAAAGGCTTTAGCTCATGGCTTCTCTCGTTAATTAGTAAGCAAAAAAGCCATATCCAAAGATCAAACGGACCTGTTACTAAATTGGTTCCTATAGGTACAATTGTCGTTGTCGTTGTCTTGGTTCTATCTGATCAAACACCAGTAGACCAATGGGATAGTCGTATGCAACCGACAGTTTGGCTGGCTTTAACCTCTACTATAAGTGGTGCGTTCCTAGCACATGCTTTAGCAGAAGGCGCGGCTCACTCGTTCTGGAGGCAAGCTTGCAAATCGACTACAGTGAGCATGCAACCTTTCCTCAACCAGTGTATTTTTCTAACGATTGAAGTTACCAAACCTCGAAGCGATATATGCATCCTCTACTAGTCTTCTTGAAGCTGTATGCAACTTGGCCAGGCTCCGATCTAAACGACTTGGGTTTGGTAAGTGCGTGATGAAGTTATCAAACAATCAAAGGACTAATGGACTTATACATTTTAGCTTCTATTGTAGTTACCCTGTCGATGCTTCGTAACCCATTGATCCAGCGTGCAACTTTGACGACTACGCAATACTCTACAATACGAGAATCTATGAACTTCCATATTGCACGAGAGCTTCCATATGGTTATGGTGCAAATCTCAGTGGCCGAAACACGAATATCTTCTTCCTTACTTCGAATTTCAGCAGGATTGCCCAGTCTTACAGCAGCCGAGACGTAGTCCGTGCTTACAACTCGTCCTGTGATAATTGCACAAGCACTGTACAAGTAAGTCTTCTATTGGGGGTCGTTTGCAGTGCGTTCGCCAACCGATTCTGCTGCTGTTAGGGGTTTGGCTTTGCGGTCAACTGCACTTAGAGGTCTCGTAGATTCGATATTAGCGCCGAAGTTTCATCACCGGCGGCGACGGCAGGAGGAGATTATCTTTTCCAGATAAATGTTACGGAATACAGAGGGCTTGAAATATACTCCAGTAAGAACGGCTCACGATTACGGTTCACAACCCTCTGGAAACCCAGTAATGACTGCAGCGGCGATCTCAAAATCCAAACGTGCGATCTTACTGCTGGAATAACTAAATACCCTATTGTCACAGAAGGCGCAAAAGTGACATTGCAAGGAACGTGGCATGACGATGTCTTCGTTGAGTCAAGGTTAGTCCTGCTCGATTTATGAACAATATCTGAGACTAATCGAGCTTCAACATTCAGACATATGATCCCTATGGGTATGGGGCAATCCAACATATTGGGCGGCTTCAGCAATATTCTTTCCTCCGTCTTTACCTCATACGCATTTATGAAACGTACCACCATTTGGGGAACGGAGCTCCTCACTTCGGGCCTCCCAGCAACCCAACACATGTTGCTAAACGGTAGTGAGCCATCATGCATGGACACGTGGACCAACCCGATGGAGGACATAATTGAGGCCGCCAGAGAAATATCCTTCAGGGCGAGCATACAATACGCACACGAAAACACTACCAACAGTCAGACTACTGAGTTTGAAAAAAGCATAATGCAGTCGGTTTTCGAGACGGACTACAGCAAAATGGCCATCGCACTCTTAGTATCCACGGCTGGCATGCTGGCCATTCTGCCGCTTTTTTGGGGATTTTGGGAGCTTGGGCGCCGTGTATCGCTGAATCCATTTGAGGTAGTAGTCGCGTTTTTGGGCATGCCCGAGACGCATCCTGTGATGGGTAAAATCGATCCTAATATGAATGTCGGCAACATCTTGAAATCGACTGAGTTAATTGGCCCCGTCAGATATGGGGCATGGCATGTCAACGGAAGATCCCGGCTTGGTTTCGCCCAGGCTGAAGTTGTGCGAAGTCCAAAGGATTCTGAGAGGTTTATCTACTAAATAATTTAGCTTATGATGAATTGGTACGCTTATTTCTCTATCAGGCAGCATTTCAAACAGCCTCTACACAAAGATTCTCACACTAGCGCTAGTCTCATAATGACGATTTGAAGCGGCAACGGTATTGTGATATCCTGATTGCGCCGTTGCATGTATAAGAAGAACTCCCCGTGCATCAATTACACCCACTATGCTCCAGTACCGCGCAGCACCGTAGAGCACTGCGCCTTGGTGATTCCTAACAAAGCTCATGTGTGATGAAGCCGAGCAGTATCGGTTTCTGCCAACTGCCAGTCACTTAACGCTCACTCTAGGACCTGCTAATTGTTCTTCTTAACCTTCAAACCTGGCCCAGTGTCCTTCTTCTTCAGTCGAACTCTCTTCAAACGGCTACAGCACCATATGGCACCATATATTAGTTGATTCGATGTGTATGTTAGGAACTTACGCCTCGGAAAAACTCAAAAACTATCTATACTAGCTGACCCTGGACCCTTTTGCCTACTACCCAATGTGATAATCATATTACCTTAAAGAAAGCGGAAGGCTACCTCAGTTTCGGACGCAAGTCCAAATACCCGATTAATATACGTCCTGCACTCATCTTTGAGTGTCCCAAGAGGTGATGCCTTGCGAAGTCCTTTATAGTTCGTAATGAACTCCATGGGCCGCTGTTCACAAACCATCCGTTCCAGGTGAGGTAGATCTTTGGCCCAAGCGTTGGCGTGTTTTACCACTCGAAGGTGTGTTCTCTCCTGAACGGAAGGAACACTCTTGTATGCGTCACTCTCCACGACATCCAGATAGTCGCTGCCAGGCTGTGTGGCTGCACACACATCCGCCCAGTCATCATTCGGTGCTATAGGACGCTTGTATGTATCACCATGGAAAGCTAGTTTCTTGAGATTCTTGAGACCTGAGAGATGCGTTTGGAGCATATCGTGGTCAACATTCCACTGAGGCACTTTGTTCTCTGGATCATCATAGTCATAATCCTCGTAGCTGCCGCTTGTATTATCGCCTATGAAGCACCCAAGAGTCAGTTGCTCCAACCCTTTCATCTCGGAGATGGCGTGCAATGCGCTGCGGGAGATCTTCCAGTCGAAATCATCATCGCGTCCTCCTCCAGACCAGACCATAAGAAGGGAGCGCAGATTGCTAAACTGGCCCATCCCAAGCAGCAGACGATCGAAGTCGGTGCTATCCTTGGAACGGCCTTGTGTGAGGTAGAGCTTATGAAGCTGACTGTGGTTGAGGACCAAATCCGTAACACGCTTCTAATCGTCAACATGGTTTAAAACCAGGTTTTCAAGATTTTCATATGGTTCGCGTTTGTACAAGAGCTTCATAGCAGCACGTTTAGGCTCAAGAGACCTCAGGGGACAAGAAAGTAGCGCACTCAGAACCTTGTCTGCAGCCATCTCAAGCCAGTCATCATTGATTCGAAGATGACGAAGATTGGGGAATGAATCTGTGTCTAGATCGATGGAAAATGGCTTCCTTGCCCTACTCGGCGGGTAATGCCATGTCAGAGACTCGAGAGTCGGTCCGCAGAGCTTGAAAATGGATTCAAAAATAGTGTTTTCCTGGTCAGGCATGCTGTCATCGCGCGCCAGGCCCCTACTCTCACTATGGGGTACCACAAGAGTGATATCGATGTCTAGAGAACGTATAGGGGGACCTGGTCTGGCTAATATGGGTTGCAAAGGCCATTCTCCGTCCAGCACAATGTTGGATAGCTTAAGGGTATGGGCTGTTGTCTGGGCAAAGAGCCTTGTGAAAGTGGCTTGATCCTTCACGACGGGGTCTATCCAGACCAGGGTCTCCAGATTCTTCATCAAGGAAACACCGAAGGTTGTTGTCGTACGAAGAACGGCATACTTGTCGTCCTCATCGGATCGATCCGCTTCTATATCCCTATAGCTATCCTCATGATAGAAACGTGCCCAGGATTTGGGGAAGAAATATCTGGCCCAGAGATGATCGACTGAGAAGTTACAATAACGTACGCACTGTGAGGTGACGAATCGTCGCCCATTGTCACCCGCAACTACATCCAATAAAGCGTCATAGAGTTGTTTGATGAATAAAAGCTTTTGTCCACTGAGGTCAAAGTTGAACTCGGCACATTGGCGAGTTCGAGCAAGCCTGCAACAGTCGGAATTGACAAGTGCGAGCTTGCTAAGGGTGCTAAAGTCGTCATGGAGCTCGTCGACGATCTTGGCTAGGATCTCACTGGGCAATTGAAACAACGGGCATTGAGACGCTCGAGGTCGACCTAAAAGGAGGGCATCTAACAAAAGAGAGCCCAAGGCAGCTTTTGGGGTTGGTAGTGATCGTTTTCGTAACGTTCACCGCGAGAAAAGAAAAGGGAGGTGATACTGCCGTTTGACGTCGTGACGGCTGATAGTGAGCGGAGAACCAAGATGTAAGATTTCAGATAAAGCTTAGATCCTGAAACGGGGAGGGAAAATGAACCAGCCACTCGTGTCGTTTCGGTAGTTAAGAAGGTGATCCACTGTGACCCCTGACCGCGATGTATAGAAGCCTCAGGCATCACATTCAGGAACTCCGGAGATCTTTATTTCACAAATCATTCGACGAGTGGAGAGGTGATAAGACTGACCACCAGGTAGCAGAAAAATATATCCACTAATGATAAGGTAGCTTAAAATAAGCCATCCAAAAGTCACCTAAAGCTCATACAACATACACATGTTATTTTGTCACTTTCACTCCCGACGGTCAATTTTTCCGATAACCGATGACTAACTACCCGCATTCGCCGCCCTTGCGGCTCTGTAGTGCTAGGGTTTTTAGCCATGTGGAGATTTTTCTTAGACACAGACAAAAATCAATCAAGAACTGTCCACCGATCATACGTGAATCTCGCGTGATTACCATAATGTCGGCGCCATACCAAGGGTTTGGACGGAGTTGGGTCTGCGATCAGCTTACACTAGAATTGGTGGAATTTATATAAAACTTAAAGAAATCCTGTAGTATTCCATTTCTGTATTCATCATCGCTTCAATTATTCATCAATTAATTCCAACAAAGTCAACATCATGAGCAACCCACTTGTGGTTAGCATCTCCAACTTGGCGGCATACACGCCGCAGGAGACCATCGAGCTGGTCTCCCGATCTGGTGTGAAGAGAGGAAACATGCGACCCGACAAGATCTTTTTGTCCGCTGTTTCAGCAGGTTGTCTTCTTGGCTTTGGCTGTGGCGTTTCATTATGCGCCATGACTGCTCCATGGTACGCTGAGAATGCGCCTGGTCTGGTCAAGCTTTTTGGCGCGGGCGTTTTCCCTCTTGGTTTAGTGCTTGTGGTACTTACCGGCGCGGATCTATTTACTGCCACAACCATGGTGAGTTGGACGACTGCAAATTAATATAACTGTTACTGATGGTATTAGTTCACTTTGACGGCTGTTCTGCAAGGCCGGCTACCTATTCGCAAAATGTTATTGCATTGGTTCCTTTGCTATTTCGGTAATCTTGCTGGATCATTATTTGTTATGTCTATCATCATGGGATGTACGTTATCTGACGCCTTGTGCATATATGATATGATGGGAACTAACATCGGTTGTAGACGGCGGCGTTTTCGACGCAGACCCCTACAAAGAAGTCGCCATCAATTTCGCTACCAAGAAACAAATCGCACCCGAAGTCCATCAAATATTTGTCAAAGCCATTGGTTGCAACTGGCTGGTCTGCCTAGCCGTCTTCCTCGGAATCCAAGCCAAAGATCTTGCATCAAAGGTCATCGGTATGTGGTGGCCCATCTTCGCCTTCGTTGTTCTCGGTCTCGAGCACGTAGTAGCAAACATGTTCTACATGAGCCTAGCCATCTGGCTAAAGACCCCGGACCTGACCGTCGGTCTCTACATTTGGAAGGGTATGATCCCTGCTACGATTGGCAACATCATTGGTGGTGGTATGTTTGTTGGCGTTTATTACTGGTACATGTATCTCGCCATGGAAGATCCTGTCCAAGTTGATGGTGTTGCGTACCAGGGTCCTGTTGTGGACTCTCACATGCACTGGCTTTCTCCCAAGAGAGAGGCTCCTATAGATGAGGAGAGTAGAGTCGAGTCTGCTCCGGTTTCCGTTCCAGCCAGCGTTATCGCAAAGTAGATCGACCTTGTATATTAGACTTTAGATAGAAGACGCAAGTTCATAAACGGAGTGCTGACTGCTAACCCTCGTCTGGTACGTGAATGTCCGATCCTGATCTTATTTCTAAATTGCAAAGATTAGCACAGCAATAAGTAGAGGATTTAAACGAGTTCCACATCCTCGCTCGACTTAGTAATCATTTACTAAAGAGCCGTTTGTAAGGCTGTAGGGCCGTCTTAGCCGTGTCGGCCGACTCATGGACCAATCGAGAGGCTGAAGTTGTGCATAGCCACCCGATCGTCAGTATTGATACGATATCGTGTTTCGAAGGATTCTTCACTAACATATTTGTACTGATGATGTGTCCATTTTAATGGAACCAGATGGAGCTTTCCCTCCAAACTCGTTCTCTTTGACATTGACCTTCCTTATTTTTAGCTGAGTGACGTGCCAGTGGAGCTCGTGATAAGAAGCCGGGCCTATTCAGCTGTTTTAGCATCCTGCGCCTCTTCACTGTGTCCGAGGATGGATTGAAATGGCCAATGACTCTCTAAAAAGAACATTGGTCATTAGATAAGTAACCCTGAGGAAAGTCCAACGCCCAGTGTTTGTGTGCGTTGGCCGTTATGAGAAGAAGTTGTAGTTCCTGCCATTTGGAGACATATTGGCATCATGGTTCAATCCAATGGAACTCAAAGCTCAAAGAGATCCAATCCACGGTAGTGTTTTACAGGATCCGCTTACTCGTATTAACGCCTTGTCAATCCATGTGCCAAGCCTAAAGATGGTCCCCGAGCTGTCGATCGTGATGAAAAATAATCCACGCGGCGGCCGACGCTAGATGTTTCTCAACTCAACGTCCTAGAGCACAGCCTCGCAAACATGAGCATTTTAGATTCCGGCATAAGAACGGCTCTAAACAATTGTGATTAATGTCCCGAACCATCAGATATCTTGGTATTTGTAACCATGCTTGTAGGACGCAATCGAATAACTCTCACATATGCCGTTCTGGGCACTATATGGCTGTTTCTATTCCAGCTTTGTAGACGATATACTTACACCGATCCCTCATCTTTTTTCTATGATCCCCGCCGGGCATACGAAACGCGATATACCGATCATCGAGAAAGAGAGGCAGATAGTCTCATCGACATTGCTAACCATGCTGAAGAGCCGCTCAACATTAGCTCCATATACCGCGATGTCAACCCACAGGGCCGAGGGAACCGATTATGCGTCGGAATACCCAGCGTTACTCGGGCAAAGCAGCATTTCTTGCCAAGAACACTTGGATCTCTGTTAGAAGGCCTCGATGCTAGCCAGAGAAGGTCTCTGCATGTTATCGTCCTACTCGCAGACGATGAACCGACAAAACATACAGCCTTTGGTCAAACGTGGCTCGAACGATTGACCGACGAGGTCCTTGTCTACAACGTTACTTCTCCTTCAACTTTACCGACTAAATACCGCAAGACAGAACCGATCTCATCGAAACAAGACAAGACCACGGTACGAAACGACCGAATACACCGCGACTACGCAAGCCTGATCGCAAACTGCCGTAGAACAGAGGCAGACTACTTTGTCCTAGTTGAAGATGATGTCATTGCCGCTCGAGACTGGCTTGACAAGCTATCGAGGGGTCTAGAACATCTCGAACGAAGTGGAGACTCTGCGAATTGGTTATATCTTCGATTATTCTACTCTGAAACATACCTTGGCTGGAACTCCGAGGAGTGGCCGATATACCTTTTTCGGTCGCTGGTCTTCTACAGTATGGTCTTGGTTATCTATTTTGTTATCGTCGCAGCAGACCTACGTCGATGGTCGAAGTTTCATCTCAATACCCACAGGTATAACCTTGGACACATAACATTCTGGACGGCTTCATTCGTTATTCTCTACTTCCTGGCTGGGAGACTAATGGTGGACCCTTACATAGAAGGCATTCGCGAAATGCAGAACTATGGCTGCTGCGCACAAGGCCTTGTCATACCGACTCAGCATCTACCTGCCTTGGAAGAGAGTCTTTATACAGCGTCGGAGGATATCGCTGGCGACTCTCTCATCGAGGAGTTTGCTGATAAGCACGACTTGAAGAAGTATGCCATTGTGCCGAGTGTTTTGCAGCATGTTGGGATCAAAGGGTCTTCAGATGACACTGCGAGTAAAAAAGGCACATGGAACTTTAGTTTTGAGAGGACCAATTCCTGATATATAAGCATGATTGAATGGTCACCATTGCTTTCCTCAAGCTTACTTATCACGGAAATAGCTGGAAGTAGCTGGCAATATCCGATGTCGGATTAGACTCACAGACCTATTACTCATTCCCTGAACAAGTTGATCAGACCAGTCAATTGATGCATATTTAATAACTCATGCTTCGGCGTTCTAACCTGAGATATTCACCGATGTAGATTCTCAACCCGATACTTACCCCTCCACCAAGGCGAATATCCCAAGCATCCCGAGCTAATAAAATGGCAACCAACACCCTCCAATCTAAACTTCGCGCTCTCCCTGTACTGCAGGGATCGTCCCATCCCAAAATGAGCTTTGACTCATTCCCCAAAACCCCGCAGCAAGCCTTCGAAGCATGGCTCGACGAAGCCATAGCCCATGAAGTCCCAGAGCCACACGCTGTCACACTCTCAACGACTGATCACGAAGGCCGGCCTGACGCGCGCGTCCTTATTCTGAAGAATATTGACGATCGTGGATGGCACTTTGCTTTCAAGGCCGAGAGTCCCAAGGGACGACAAATCTCGGCCAATAACAACGTGGCTCTTACTTTCTACTGGCCTCAGCTGGGGCGTCAAATCCGTCTGCGCGGGAAAGCCAAGTCTTTGCCTCGAGACGAATGCGACAAAGACTTCGCGGCTCGGTCTATCAAAGCCAAGGTGACTGCAATGATTTCGAAGCAAAGCCAACCATTGGATGATCCTGAATTGGTGGAAAAGCGTCTGGAAGAGTCTTTGCTAGTGCAGGAGAATGGAGAGGAGGGAATAAGCTCAGAGGGATGGGTGGTATATGCAGTTCAGCCCGACATGGTTGAGTTTTGGCAAGCTTCTAGCGCTCGTCTCCACCAACGAACCAAATATTTATGGGATCAGGCAATTGCCCGTTGGACCAAGACGGCTCTATGGCCATAGAATGCTGCATCACAAGAGTGCTGAGATTGAGCAATTTATACAAACTACCGGCACGTTGCTGTAACTGAACGTAATTGAAATAGTGACGGCGAGAGCGACGATATAATATTCTTCCATTAATCCATTGACATAGACACAACCACGCTGCGCTGCATATAAAGAAGGTATTATGACAGAAATTTGCCTTGAAACAGACTAGCGTGCTTAGATAATCATAAATATGACAGAATAAAGATCCTTCGTGTAACTATTATTTGCCCATTTATAAGCTATGAAAAGAATGAACTTCCATACACAGTCATTGACCTGACATTTCGCTACTCCATTATCGCGAGATTGACCTTCATAAAATGTCTCATGTTCCTGCTGCCGACACGAGTCCCGTGATTGCGTCAACAATTAGGGAATGGCTGTCCACCTGCCTCAGCTGCCACACCGCAACCTGCATTGACTCTCAACACGGAGCTATTTCCAGCAATGAGGGTCTAACGAGCAGAGAAGATCGGCGCCCATCTTGGCTCATTGACGTCAATGATCAATGCATAGTTCGAGGAAATGTCAAAGGTAGATATTTTGCCCTCAGTTACACATGGGGAAACGTCTCAAACGAGAAGGAAAGACTGCAGCTACTGAGCCACAACATTTACTCGCTGACCACAATCAACTCATTGGACCAACACATACATCAACTATCCAAGGCTATCATAGATTCCATTGAATTAACAGCTGCGATGGGAACACGATATTTGTGGGTGGATAGACTTTGCATCGTCCAAGACGGTCCACATAAAGCTGCCGAGTTCATGGACATGGATCGAATCTACTCTGAAGCCACTCTGACAATTGTCGCTGCAGCAGAATTTGGACTGTACCTTAGCCCCGACGATTCGATTCGGAACGCTGAAGTAAAAGCATTGCGAATGAAGGGCCAACCCTCGCATAAAGTTGTTCGTACCTACTATCAAGCATTGGCAAGAACAGATTGGGCAACGAGGGCTTGGACATACCAGGAACATATCCTTAGTAGACGGGTTGTGTTCTCCCTTGGATATCTTGTCTTTTGGCAATGCGAAAATGCCGTGTGGGATTCAGATCAGCTTCGATCAAATCAACAGGAAACGGCCGACTTCCATGAAAACGATTTCTCAGGTCTATCTACCTCGACATTTATCGGACGTATGGAGACGCCGTCATGGCCCGAGTTTAGTCTCTACGCGGACCTAATCTGTCCTTACAATGGGAGAGAGCTATCGCATCAAGATAGGCTGTCTGCCTGTCTCGGTGTTCTCAACCGCTCGGAACCAGCGTATCCTGGAGGCTTTATCTTTGGCCTGCCACGCTCATATCTCGATCACGCACTTCTTTGGCAGCCTCTGAAATATCACTACACTAGTCCTGATCCCCCGATTGAAGATTTCCGCAAGGTCTTCGATGGATGCAAGGGAAGAACTGGGCCATCGACCCACAGATCTACACTTCCTTCTTGGGCATGGTGTGGCTGGCAGTGCTTTATTGACCCCAAGGTCTTTCAAGCCGCCATGAACATCAACGAGTCTGGCTCGTATCGAAACAATGCCTCAAGTTCATGGAGACTGAAAAGCATCATCAAATGGGAATGCACGAGGCCTGACCTTGAGCACACAGACCAACAAGGTGAAGACCTGGCCCAAGAGCCGTTGCCGCCATCACCCAATGGAAAGTCTCTGCCGCTTACATCGAGCCGTTTAACAGCCTGGACGTCATGCATAACCCTTCCCCCCCCCCCCCCCCCCC